ACTAAATCAACTAACCTGGGCTCACAGGGGCTGACAGACGAAACCAATGTGTGCTACGGTCGTGTACTTTGGTCTTCTTGTAGGACTCCTAACCATAGGAACAGGGGCTGTCTCTGATTCTTTTACCTGCTTTTGGGACCCTTTCCCTCCTACTGGGTTGCCTTGTCCAGCCTTAATATGAGGGGAAGTGCCTAGTCTTATTGCAACATGATACCCCCGGGGAGGCTGCTCAGTTCTGAAGGCAAAGAGAGGAGGAGTAGATGTGGAGAAGAAGGGAGGTGAGGGGGGAGAAACTGGGAGGAAGGAGGGAGGGAAAACTGTGATTGAGATGTAATATATGAGAATAATCTTATTTCTTTCATTCATTCATTCATTTTTGGTTTTTTGAGACAGGCTCTCTCTGGATAGATCTGGCTGTTATGGAACTCACTGTGTAGGCCAGGTTAGCCTTGAACTCAGAGATTCACCTCCTAAGTGCTGGAATTAAAGGCATGTGCCACTACCTGCCAGCTAAAAAGTTTTTTTAATTAAAAAACAAAAAAGGCTTGCTCTCAAAGAGGACCGTGTGTCAGGAGGCTCCCAACCACCCGTGACTCCAGCTCCAGGGCATCTGATGCCCTCTTCTGGCCTCTCTAACACCTATACATGCGTGCCACACACTCACAGACATATTAAAAAGTTAAAAGAGGAAGGGCGGGAAGAGTTCCCTTTCTTCTCTGAATCCAATTTGGCCATGTAGTAGCTGTGAGGCTGCAGAAAAGGGCCTTAAGTTTTGGAAGGCTCATTGTCCTTATGTGTAAAAGGAACACAATCTAATACCAGCCTCAAGTGCAGCTTTGTGGTCCAAGGGAATCCCTACACCCGCTCCCTAGACCTGCCTTCTATGTCCAACATGACCCTCCACTGGCCTCACTTTCAATAAACCAAGGACCCTTCCAGTGCCTCACTGGCTGGAAAAAGAATGAACACATTTCCCTGAAGGAAGCATTCTGCAGGCAAAGCCACTCACTGCCCCTCCCAGCCTCAGAGCCCTAACAGAGAGGTTCTTCTGGGCCAGGCCCTCACCTCCCACCTTTCACTAGGACGTACCAGGAACTCTTGGGGTGTGGCCTGAATGGTTTGATGCAGATGGTTAAGGAACCAGGCCAGGCGAACATTTCGGGAGATTCGATAATCTTTCTTCATTAACAGAAACACCTGCCCAGCTTCTTCCACCTAACGAGAGAGAAAAGAAAAAGAACACTGAGTTCCCAGGCTATACATCCCATGCCAGAAACCTGCCCAAGGAGCCCACCCAGGGAGTGGAAGGTATTTTGAAAAGTGTTCCCAACACAGACCACCGCACAGAGCTTACCGTCTTACAGCATGGCTCCACGAATGTTTATGTGAGTTTCTCCCACAAACCACAAGCTCCCAGAGGTGGGAGAGGTGCTCTATCTTGTTTTTGTGCCCCCATGCTTGGCAAACTGATTCATATGAGACCCAGTGAGTCTCTAGTTTGCTACATAAGCATTTGCCAGTTACTACCTCAGTCTTGCCCACAGCAGACACTAGAGAAACCTTCACTGAGTAAATATAAGATTTCTGAGGGAATGAAGCCTCCTAGGTGGGATCTCACACTAAGTTCCTGTGGGTCACAATCTCTATTCACACGCTTGTCAATGTCAATGCTTTAGTTGTGTCCTATCCTGTCCCATCCCATCTGTCTTTGACCCCTTCTCCCACCCCCACCCCTAGTGCCTTCAGAGGTGGTAACCTTACTTTTCTACTATACAAACCCTGCCAAAGATGACCTGGAGTGTATTATTCCCTATATGCATAGTCTACAATATACTATGGCGGCTGTACGCTCACAGGAAGAAAACTGTCATTTTGTCACCGTGGTAAATCTTAATAGGCTTGAATTCTCGGTCAGTAACCTTTCTGGGTACCCCGCTCCCCAGGTTTTTCCACCTCTTCCCAAGCTTGTACTTCCAGCAGACCAACTTGCCTGGAGTTCACAAAAATTGAATAACTGCCCTAATTATTACATCATTACAAACTGAGTAAGTGTGCTAAGGGCTAAGAATGAGGTTTTATGAGAGCAAGAAACAAAGTAACTGATCCTGGGTAAGGTCTTGGGAGGATCGGGTGATGAAGCTCCAGCAGAGCTGGCCGCATGAGACACCCGACAGAGGGCAGGCAACAGCCACTGCACTTCTGGAAGTGTGCTCGCGCACCCAGTTTCACAATGTATAGCTTCCATTTCTTTACCTTTCTCTTGCTTTCAACACTGTTTTGAATGACTGATTTCTCCAAGGCCAAACGGATGTCTGGTTCACCTGTCAGTTCTTATAGAATCCATCTTGAAACCAGGGTTGTCTGCATAGCTTTCTCAGAAAAATTCTCTTGTATCTGTGACTCTTTGATGGGAACATTTCCAAAACCTCCTAAGTTGTCTTACATTCAAGACGTACTTTATCAGAACCAGGAGGCTGGCTTCATATAATTTAAGCAGCTGGAATATGTTTCAGAGTGGGCGCCAAGCACCAGGTGCATCAGAATCACCTGAGCTGTTGACTAAAACGCGCGTTTGATTCCTGAGTACCGTCCGAGACCGACTGGATTAAGAGCTGACAGCGCGCAAGAATCTACATTTTAACTAGTTCCCCTGAGGATCTTTCCATTTTACTGTTTCACAATTTTTTTAATTAGTTATGTTTCATAGCATTCACATACACATGGAGCTTCAAGACCTCAATTCTAACCTCCCTTGAGTCTGATGTGCCCAACTTTTGAAACAATCGGATAAGACAAAGCAGGCTTCTGGAGTCAGAGGCCTGGATTCTAATGTGTTCTATTATATGCTGTGCATGTGATCGTGCAGGATACTGAATTTTTTTCCAGGCTTCAATTGTAACAAGTAGAAAAAGATTATCTCTGTAGTGATATTCTAATTAAACAGGGGAGGAAGTCCAATGGCAGAGGAAGGCTGGTGCTATTTATGGTATTCATTGAGGCCTACACACTACAAGAGGTCTAAAGTGCTGCCAGGCACGGTGCTTCCTTTTTTTCTGGGTTTTGTTCTTCCTTGAGACTAAGGTCCAAACTCTTATCTGAGCCTTTTCTAAACCATGTGTTGTCTTCCCACAAAATAATGTAGATACCTCCCTTCCCCAACTATCTGAAGCTTCTCATCATTATAAACCTGAACCTCTTGCATGACCTCAAGTTGAGGCTTCTCTCTCCCCACTCTCAGCCGCCTCATCTACCACTAGGGTAAAAGCAAGCACTTGGTCCTTGAAAGCACCTTGGACCAAATGCTGGCTCCGCGAGTTTCTTCATTCATGAACAGGGATAACAAGAGTAACTATTTCATGAGGATTGTATTAGATACTTAAAAGAACTTCAACTTCCTGAGTTCCATCTAACTGCTTTTGGAAGACGGTTAAATGCTCCATTAAACATTATGCTTCCTCAGCTACTCCTTTGCAACATCTACCATAATCCAATGTTCATTCATTCCACAAAGCTAAGGAATCCATCTGTCTTACACTCCGAATCCACCCTAACACTCAGCCCACTCTGGGTCCAGAGTAGTACTCGTTTTTCTCTTTTGGGAGCCTAACATCTCTAAATATCACTTTTTTTTCCCCTTGGCATTCTGTTCCTACACTATTCATCCATAGAGTTTTCACATGTGTACTTTCTTTATTACATCTCTACATACACACACACACACACACACACACTTGTGTGCTCCTACATATGACACATACATATGGTCATACTGCACATGTGCAGGTCAGAGGACAACTTGTAGATCCAGAGGTAAATCATTTGCTTGGGAGTTCTAGACCTAATAGTATCTGTGTAACAGTTTCTTTTAATATCTGTACCTCAGTTTCCTGAAAAGGGGGTGATAGGGTTGAAAGAACTGAGCTTCGGGAATAAACAAACATTGGATTATAACTATAACATGTTGCAAAGGAGCTCGGAATGTGAATGTGCTCAGATCGGTGGCTGGCATGCTAAGAACTCAACAAGAGGAACTCAACAAGAAGCCATTACTATCTATCATTTAACACATCCTTCCCTCCTATTGAAGTACTCTTCTGGGGTCCTAGATATTCTAGCCAAATCTAAGGTTTTGCTGCCTTCTCAGATCCTTTAGTTCGAGTAGAATGAGTAATCCTAAGGTATCTTAGCATGAAACGGCACTTCATATCTACTCTGACTTCAGTTTTCTGCTCTGTTCATGAGAATAAATACTGCCAGGTTCCCCGCACGAGTCTGAATGTCAAAACATACACATACACACACACACACACACACACACACACACACACACACACACACACACA